GTTGAGAACAGTGACCGTGAGTTTTCCTCCCTAGGTTTCTCTCCAACATAGGAGTTCCTTCATTCCTCCTTTCTACTTACCCCTCCCTTTCTCCCCTTGATCTCCTCTTTCCTTTTGTCACTGTCTTTCTTTGGAAACTCCAACCCAAGGGACCACAAGGCAATGGCTTTTTGGGTTTTCTAGGGATTACATCTATTTATTTTCGAAGGCTACGATTAGAATTGATCTTGCCGGTGAAGTCGGTTTCTCGTATTTAACGGGCAAGAATCTCACTTTGGTGCATCTCCTCAAATGGGATCTTGACAGGAATCGAATTTGGCGAATTTGGTTCACACTAGTTACTGATCAGCTAGTTGATTGCCGAAGGAAAGGGATCTTGTTGGTAAGGTCGGCTATAGTCTACGTGGGAAGCCTGATTTTCAAGTTGACAAAGGGGCTTTAGTTCCCTTAATGAGTTTCGACAGCATGAGTTTGAGAAGGACCGGCAAAAATGGGAACATGATTGGAGTATATGGAGGCGACTAGGGGGCCTTGTGCTTATTAAGAAAAGGCCCATACCCCTCTTGATTGTTCTTCTTTAAAAACCAGTAGGGCGGCAACTTGTGGGTTAGAGACTGTTTGTTGCGAGAATCCCTTGCTTTCCCCAAAAAGCTAGTTAAATAGGTGAGGATGTCCAGTAATTTTTAATGCTCAACTCCTCTTTTTACATTTAACTCATATAGCAATTATAAATTCAATCCTTGGTTGCAAATGGTTCTCTTTACTTAATTATCTATATCCTTCATGGTATAATTTAAGTCTATTACTAGTACTGTAAATTATATTTCTGATTCTATTCTCAAGTTATACTTCTGATTTTGTTCTTAGGTTATTTTGATTTTGGTTATATACTATGAGATTGAGATTCTGTTGTAATTTTTTATTACTTAATATATTTCTTTATTTTTCATAAAAAAATATTCATTAATTAATGTCTTTTTTTTTTAATTTCAAACTCTTAATTTTTTTAATTATTTTTTATCTTAAGTTACATAACATTCCTTAAATTACTTCATTTAATTTATATATTATATACTCAAACTTAAGATCTAAAAAATTACTTAAGATCTAAAAAATTACTTAAGATATTGACAATATTTTCAATCGTTGATCTTATTTAAAATATAGATATTTTGGTCAAACTTCCTATCTAGCATTAATGACTAAACCTATAAGATAGGATAAACTTGATATTGAAGCGATTGAAAAATGATTTTGAGGCCTTTAAAAAACTTCCTTTGCTAACTTTTTCCCTTTTGAACCATTGAAAAGATGGAACTAGAATGGAAGTTGGCTCCTATTTCACTCAACCCACCCGAAATGGAGTCTCTTTGATGAACCCTAAAGTTATAAGCTTCGATTATTACCCCATTTCCAAAGACAATAATTGCGAAGAAAAGTCTGAATTAGCTAGACTGCCCCCACCCCCTAGTACGATTGGGATTCCTCCCAGTAAACGCAAGCCACAGCCAGCTGCCGGCCAGGCCTAACACGGTTTTGCTTGAAACTGAACATAATATAATAGAAATGCTAATAATGTGCAGATGAAACATGTGTCTACTCTACTTGCCTTTGAATGGGTTAAATTGAAATTCAAGGCAAAGTAAAGGCCGGCACATTGCGTTCATATCCACTTCTCTTTTCCATATTTTTACCAAATGCAGCTTACTCTACCCATGAAGGATTAAGCAAGGAAGCTTCCTTTTTGGTATATTTTTAAATTATACAATACAATTCAAAAAATTCAAAAGTCTTACATGATTTGTGATCACTCTTCTCATTAATAATGAAATTTCTTGATTTATATATTTTAAAATTACACAATATAATTTAAAAAACCCAAAACTCTTATATAATTTAAGATTTTTTTAATTTGTACCATTAAAATATAAGTTGAAGATGTAATTAATATATTTTTTAATTATTAATATATATAAAAAATAAAATAAAATAATTAATATTAATTTTAATATTAATCTCAAATGTCTTAATTTAATTAATTAATTATTAAAATAAAAATTAAACCTTTTATTTTATATAATTTAATAATAAAAAATATATATTAATTACTTTCATAATATGTGCTGTCAGAAAGAACTATAATTTATGATCGCTCGTCTCATTAATAGTAGTGTTTGCTTTGCAATAATGAACTTGGAGTTTTAAAAACGTATTAATAAAAATTAATAAATATAAATTAATATACTAATTATTTCTCTTGTACCACGTCGGTGTAGAATTAAGTCAACTTACCTAGAGAATCACATGATTTGGTGGTCTACCATCCAAAACCCCAAAATTCTTTCGTTACATAAAAATTGGCGCGTGGGGTGTCACGTCAGGACAGGTCACGTCGTCCTCCGCCTCCCCTCTCTTACCTATATATTTTGACTTCCTCGCTTTCTCTTTCTCGGATCTTGATCTTTACAGGAGATTAGATAAAACATTCTAAAATCTGTGAACAAAATCAGATCTCTTTTTCTTCCTTCTAGAAAAGGGTTTTACAGAAGGATTGTAATGAATGGTCCTTCCAGTGCCGGATATTTGAACAACGTAGCCGTTTACGATGAGTAAAAATGGGTGAAGAATGGAGCTGAAAGTTGAAGTTTTTCTTAGCTCCGACGGAATAGTTTGAAAGTTGAAGTAGAATTCGACTTGGGTTTAAAGGTTAGGAGACGAAAAGTGAGAAAAGTGGTTGCTTTTCTTTAATTTAAAGGGGAAAAAAAGAGAAGAAGAAGCAGCTGATCGAAGCAAAGAAGTAGAAGTAGCAAGTAAGAATCGATTCTAAACCTTCCCTTTTAATTCAAATGAATTCGAGCTCAATTTGGTCTAATTAATTCATGTTTTGCAGAGAAATGGCGACGCTTGTGGAGCCTCCAAACGGGGTGAAGCCGCAGGGGAAGCATTACTACTCCATGTGGCAAACCCTGTTCGAGATTGACACCAAGTACGTACCCATCAAACCTATAGGGAGAGGAGCTTACGGGGTCGTCTGCTCTTCAATCAACAAGGAAAACAATGAGAAAGTGGCCATAAAAAAGATCAACAACGTGTTTGAGAATCGGGTGGATGCTTTGAGAACTCTGAGGGAGTTGAAGCTTCTTAGGCACATTCAGCACGACAATGTGATTGCTTTGAAGGACATTATGATGCCCACTCATAGGACCAGTTTCAAGGATGTATATTTGGTTTATGAGCTTATGGATACCGATCTGCATCAGATTATAAAGTCTTCACAGCCACTTTCTAATGATCATTGCAAGTATTTTATCTTTCAGGTACCAAAGTTTTATTCTTTTTTTTTTTTTTT